TCAGGTGTGGGAGTGTCACTCGGGGGGTATTGGGGGTGTAGAGGCAGGGAGGGAGCACGGAGGCACGGAGATGGACATGGAAACAGGGGCCAGTGCAGAGTTTGGGGAGAGGCTGCAGTGCGGAGTATGAAGGAGTGTAGGGAGGATGGGGGCTGGGTTTGGGCAGAGGTTTGTGGTTTTGGAGCACGGCTCTGGGTTCTGGGTCAGTGCAGGGTTGGGGTATCGAGTGCAGGGTTGATAAAAAGGGCCCTTAAAGGTTGGGTGATGTAGGATGGTCATGGGGAGTTCCGCCCATGGGTGGCGAGAGCCCAGCGTGGGTCAGGAGTTGAGGTGCTGTCTGTGCCGAGTGTTGGGGTTGCTGCAGTGTGCGTGAGGGGGGCAAGATGAGTACAGCTTTTATCTGCCCACAGAAAACGGTGTATGGGGCCAACGTCATTGTGTTTGAAGGGATACTGGCTTTTGCAAACAAGGAGTTGCTGAAGGTATTGCTGCCTGATGCGGCTGGTGGCCCATCTCGGTGCGTGGCGTGGGAGGAGGCGTGCAGTGGTATGCTGCAGGTGGGATGAGCACTGTCCTGGCCCAGCCCTCGGTGCTGCTGGGGCAGGGTGATGGCCGGGGGCTGCGGAGGGAGAGGTCACTCACCGCTTGCTGGCAGAGCACCTCCGTGTCAGAGGCTTCAGGGGAGGCAGCGCTGGGTGCCATTGCCGTGGGTGGTCAGACCTGGCTGGGCCGTGGACGAGGGGAACAAGGCAGGACTGACAGGGGGCTGCATAGGGGGTGCTCACCCCTCCCAGTTTTCCAGCTCCTGGACATGAAAGTGTTTGTGGACACGGACTCTGACATCCGGCTGGTGCGGCGGCTGCAACGTGACATCATGGAACGTGGACGCGACATCGTGGGTGTCATCAAGCAATACAACAAGTTTGTGAAGCCAGCCTTCGAGCAGTACATCGAGCCAACCGTGCAGGTCGCCGACATCGTGGTGCCCAGGGGTGAGACTGCGCTGTGTTTGGCAGACCTGACCAGAGCATCGGGAGTGGGTGTCCTGGGATGGAGTTGGGTCAGCGTGTGTCTGACCTGGCTTCTCCGCTCTCCTGTCAGGTGGGGAGAACTTTGTGGCCCTGGACCTCATTGTGCAGCATGTGCACAGCCAGCTGGAGAAGGTGAGGTGTGGTTGATTGCTGCTAACACGGGCGAGGAGGATTCTGCACGCAGAGGGGAGGATGTGGCTGCTCACAGCCCTGTGCTCCTGGAGCACCCAGAGGCTCTTGGTGTTGCCTCTCTCTCTTTACAAAAGGTCTTAGCGCAGCTCTCGGGGCAGACAGAACTGCGACACAGGGGCTGGGGAAATGGAGACAGGTCTGGGTGCAGCACCTGCCCTGGCAGTGACGCCTGGCACTTGCGGTCTGGCCTGGCCTCGTTCGCCTGCTGTCTCCCTTGGTCCCAGTCAGCTCTTCTGATCTCAGCTGTCCCTACCTCGCTTGCCCCTGGCTGCGCCTCGGCAGCCCGCCCTTGCCTCCCAGCTGTGCCCAGCAGTGGTTTTCCTGCTCTTGGTTTAGCTCCAGGAGAAGGGGTGGGAGTGGACTGGGGCTGCCTGGTGGCTGTGCCTGGCCGGTGCAGTGACTGGGTGTCCTTTCTTTCCCCTTTTGCCACGCTGGATAACTCTGCTCTACCACCCAGCGCGAGATCACTGTCAGGTATGTGAGGACCCTGCCAGCCGCAGAGGGGCTGGTTCCTGGGCCTGGGGGTGGAGGGCTGTCAGCACCCGCTCTTCTCCGAGTCCTGCCTCTTCTCTGTCCCTGCTGGCCACGGCTTTGCTGAGATGCCTGAGCATGGCTGCTCTGCATGCAGTTTCTTGGGGGGTGCCTCGCTGTGGCTGCAGGCTCCTGCGTAACCCATCCCACAGCAGCTATGCTTGACTTGTGTGACTGGCTCCCTGCGCTGCTCCTGTCCCTTTCTGGAGCATGGTTCCTGCCCTGAATGTTGGAGTGCCCCAGGCTGCTCCCTTCTATGGGAGAAGTGCCCTGGACCCTCCTCCCTGTTCTCTGGGACACTGTGTAGGCAGCCTCAGTAGGACAGTCCTCGTACCTCAGTGCAGCCCAGGCAGCCCTGTCCCAGGACACGTAGCAAGGTCTTGCTTGTGCAGAGCAGCTGCTCCCGCTCCCCAGGTGCTGGCAGAGGCTCGTGTGCGCGGAGGCTGCTGACAGCTGGATTTGTGGTCAGGGGAGGTTTGCCCCAGTTCTGCGGGGTGGTACTGCGTTGGCGTCTCATACCTGGTATCGGATGCGGGGCTTTCCTAGAGATCAGAGCGGGAAGGCCAAGCGCTTTCTGGTGTCCAGCCTGTGCAGTAGGTTCTCTGGGAGGAGTCTTCCTTCGGTCGGGGGCTATGCCCTACTCTGAGGGGGTCCAGCACAGTGACTCTGTGCGCGTGTGCTGTGCAGCTCTGATCACTGCTTCCTTGTTGCAGGGCAGCTCTGGCCTCTGCCCACCAAGGGCAGCCCCTGCCAAAGACACTGAGTGTCCTGGAGAACACGCCGCAGGTGCGAGGCATGCACACCATCATCAGGTAGGTCCTTGCCTCCTTCAGGATTTCTTCTGTGTCCCTCACAGAAGGGCTGTTCTGTAGGATCCCACTACAAAACCTGGTGTGAGTTTTTCTCCTCTGCCTTTAGGGCTTCGGATTTAGGTGTTTTCTTGGAGCAGAACTGCTGAACAGAGCTGGCTCTGGCCTGTGGACACCTTTTTGGTGACAAGACCTTGGCGCATCTGCCCTGGGGTGACTTTTGAGCCACGGGCAGGTTTTTCTTACGATGAGAGGAGACTGGTTAGCTCTTTCCTAGCTGGAGTACAGGCCTAGTAGCTGCTGGCACGGGGTGAGGTGCCCTTGCTGCCCTTCTCCTGAGGCACTTGGTTTTAGAGCCAGCTTACAGAAGGGACCCAGGCTGCTGCTTCCATGACTTCGCCGCTCACTTGATCTTTTCATTCCCCACCGATGCTCCTTTTTTCCAGGTGACAGTAGCGTTAGTGTAGGGTCAAGAGCCGAATCCTGTGAGACTACTGAGACGTTCCTTGTTACTGCAGTTGCAGAAGCTTGCAGCCTCTGTGTGCATTTCTGTCACTGGGTTATAAAACAGAAAGGGGATGCTGAGCTCAGCAGGACTCTTCTCCTGCGCCTGCTCACACTATGGCTGGCTACCGGCGCCCATGTGTTGGTTTGGAGAATGTAACCTCATGACCACATGCAGGCTGTGCACCTCCTTGTAGGAAGCAAGGTGTTCCTTTTCCAGGCTCCTCCTGTGACTCCTCCCTGTCGAAGTGCAGGCTCCAAAGGTGGTTCACAACAGTAAAAGCCAGGTGATGTGCCTCGCCAGGTGATGTGGCACCTTATGTGCACTGGGCAGGGACCTGTGCCAGTGTCTGAAGCCCACGTACCTTATCCCTAGACTGTGGACTTCTAGTAGCTCTGTGTTCAGGTCCAGCTAAGGGAACTTTGGAGCAGATAGGACCATGTCCCTCCAGCGTCATCTTGCTCCAGTGCTCTGGCAGTGGCTTCTTCGTGGCCTGAGACGATTTCTCTAGCTTATCTGCTGTCTGTGCGCTCAGTGGTAGATGAAGGTCGAAGGGAGGTCCTGGGGGAACAGCACCTCCAGAGGCTGAATGTTGTTTGCTTGCAAAGGAGCAGTTTTCCCTTACCCTGGGTTATGCAGGGAGAGAAGAATGCAAGTCTTTGTGTGGCAGCCCGCCCCGCCTCTAGCCTTCCTGTTCACAGGCTCTGGCAGGACTTTTTACCTACAGCTCCTCCTGTTCCCTCGGGAAAGCCAACAGCTTGATGCTGGTATGTGCTGCTCTCAGACAAACATGAGCCTTGGCTGATCTGTTAGCAGTGCCGAGGGCCAGGTTTGACCAGCCCTTGCCCAGAAGGGACAGCACTGTGGGCGGGCACTGAATCCTCTCTCATCTGTAGCTGCTGTTCCCATCTTCCTCCATGAAGTCTGCATCCTTTTGCCTTGCTGGGAATGGCCTGTTGTGCCTCCGCCTTTATGCCACAAGCATCTAATAACCTTAATCTGCTTAGATTTATGAGTTTGTTCAGCTGCCCCGGGGAGGGAGGGGGTCAAACCCATGCAGGCTGTGGTTGGAGTCCAGCAGCGCCGCTGATCTCGAGTTACTGTAGCGGCACTGTGCTTCTGGAGCTGGCTGGTGTGAGCGGCAGGGCTGCGGGAAGGCGGACTTTGCCTCTTCCAGATGGTAAATGAAAAATACCACATTTATGAGGGGCGTTGACTTGGCCTGTCAGCCACCCCCTCAAATCCTGCTGCAGCCCAAGAAAGCAAGGAAAGCTGAAGCAGTGCTGTTACTGAGATCTCTAGGCTGAGGAACTCTTCTGGTAAAAAGTTCCTGTATTCAGCAACAGCAAGGCAGCTTGTATTTCTGGTGCTTGTAGGTGATACTTGGCAGCGTTCATTTGCTTCTGCGTGACTTCAGCATGGTGTGGAGCTGTTAATGGTCCTCATGCGTGACCCTCTGGGCTTCCCTCTGCTCCAGAGGCGCTGCTGCATGCCTGCTGACATTCTCCTGGGCTCCCTGGAGAGGTCCAGACTGGCAGGGGATCAAATGCACGCCTTTTGCCAAGCTTCCTGCACCTCAGTACGTGAAGTTACTGTGTCTTGGCAAATCTGATCTCTCGTCTTCATTCTGGCTGCTACGGTGCTGTCAGCCCCTTTCCGCAGTGGCGGCTCTTGTGGAGTGCTGGTGCTCCTACCAGTACTGCCTTTTGGAGTGCCTTGGCACACCAAACCGGGCATCTGTGGATGTACGAGAGCTGTGAACCAGGATTTCCCTCCAGCCTCCCTTTTTCCATCCTGCCTTTCCTAGTGCGGCTCCCTTGGAGACAGCCTGTTGATCTTGGCTTGCCAGGCTGCTGCCGGCCAACGTTGTTTCCCTGTTGTTCAACACTGGAGGCTCTTCTGTGCTTCAGCCTTCTGTCTCTGAGGGCCCTCCTGGAAGATTATGTTGTGGCAGCAGATGAGCATCTCACTGAGTATAGTCATGGCAAATTCAGGCTTGGCATCTCGAGGAGAAGTGGTTTCCAGAGTGATTTTCTGTTATTGTGGAGAGGCGGAAACTGGAAAATAGTACTGTGCTAGAGTAGCTGAATGATTTTATTCATGACCAGGCTGAAGATGGACAGTGTAATAAGGGTATGGGTCATATCTTCCAACTTACAAGACGCTTCGGTATCGGCTCCAGATCGCCAGAGTCAATAGGAGCATTTTGTGCCACCCATCAGGACTCTGCAGGGCCTGAACAGTCCTTTCTGCCCCCCAACAGCGCTGAAGCATCTCTGTCTCTCTCTGCCACAGGAGAACGGCAGTTCCTTTCCACCGCTTGCACCTTGGTACCCACACGCTCGTGGAGAGGCTCCGGGACATCCCCTGCGGCACAGCCTGTGGGTGGCGGGGGTCACCTGCCTGCCTGAGCAAGTTTGCTCTGGCCTGAGCTTTTGGACTTTGTGCTCTGGCAGGACATGTTGTCCTGCGCTGGAGCTGCCCTTGAGAAGCATGTGGCTGTTGGTGCTTCAGTGAGGGGGCAGAGTGAGGTGTGAGCTCCCTGCGTGCTGGGAAGTTACCAACGCCAGAGAAGGTGGTTCAGACATGAAACCTGTCCATGCTCAAGTTTCCCAGAGGCCTGAATGCGATGGCTGGCTTTCAGCTACAGACAGTCCTGTTCGTGAGCTAAGCTGACACCACGTTCAGGCTCCCAGCCAGGTGCTTGCTGGTCCTTGTCAGGCCACCCGCTGTTTTCCTGCCATCTCCTGCTGAGAGTGCCAGGGAAGATCGAGGTCCTCGGGAGCCGCTGGCTGCAGTGCTGCTGTGCCCAGCTGTGGGCTCCCGGCTTGTGGGAGTGTGCGCACTGCCCGTGGTTCGGCTGCCCCCTCCACTGAGAGGGTGGGCAGAGCCTGGAGCAGTGCGTGCCCTCAGGCTTCGCCTGGGCAATGGCAGGAGGGTCCCAGCCCGTGCTGTTACCTGGCGGGGTGAGTGGGCCTGGTGTGGGGACAGCGGTGTCCCCTTTGGGAGCGCTCTTGGCATGGAGGCACAGCTGGAGCGATCCCGCTCTCTGACTGCTGTGGGGAGGGTCCTCCGCTGCTGTCGGGGGATGTCGGGGCTGCCCTCCCTTGCACCACCCCTTCCCCCTTGCATCATCGGCGGTTGCTTGTCCCCTGGGTGAGGAGAAGTTTCTCGGTTGTCTTCGCCTCTGCCCAAAAAGGGAGGCACGCTGGGGCTTTCGCGGTGCAGGGACCGAGGATACTCCTCCATCCCCGGGACGCCTTTTGTAGGCTGCGGAGGAACTTGCCTCTGCGGGAGCACCGACGGGCCTGTCCCACCCAGGTCGGAGACTGGCCGGGATGGCCAACTGTGCCCGTCTGTGGCAGAGTGGCCCCAGGGCCGACAGGGCCAGTGTGGGACTTGTCAGGGATGGCTGGCTGGGAGAGGCTGCCCGTGGAGGCAGGGCTGCTGCCGGGCTTGTGCACCTGGAGCTTGGGCGGTGTTTCAGAAACTACCGTGGGTGAGCATGTGGGTGAAGCCCACCCGTGGGGGAGCACGTGTGCTGACAGCCCACGCTGAAGAGCTGTAGGCAAGGGCGCCTGTTTCTCCCAGACCAGAACTGATTTTCCGACGTCCCTGGGAGGGCTGCACTGTCCCCTGGCTTGTTGGAATTGTCCACGTTAGTCGGGTTTTCTGGTAATTGCAGAGCTCTCGGGTGCGAGCTACCCAGGTCTGTCTGCAAAAATATCTCGGGATGGTAGTGACTGTTTATCCTTCTCCTGAGCACTGTTGGCTGGGCTGTCTGTCATCGTGGTGAGATGTGAGATGTGAGAAGTGGCAGATGATGTCTTAAAATACAGAGTAAAAATATTCAATATCCTTCTGCCTCTTCTGGACTGTTGCCAGTTCCACCTCTTCCATCTGGAAACTGGCAAATGTCTGTAGGGTTCCTTTGTTTCTTACGTTCTCCAGAAAATACCAGGGGTATACGCAGGCTGCACTGCTTTAAACACAGGTCACAGAAGAGAAAAGAGGTTTCAGCTGCATCTTGTTAACCACAGTCCTTCAGTGTCAGCCTGCCTCTTGGTTATTGTTCAGCCAGGGAGCCAGAAGCTTGTTCTTGACGGTTCTCCAGTAAAATGACACTTACGTTACAACCTGCTACTTACTCTTTTGCCAAAGCAGCCACAGACTGAGAGAGGTATAGATGGACACTGGTGGATTCTTTATGGTCACGTTTTAAATGACAAACAAATTGCAGATTCTCTTCCTTT